CAGGTAGTTTGGAGGATCAGGAAAAGTGAGATTTTCAAAATTGAATTTGGTCCCAAATACCGGCACCGACAAAATTATGAAAATGCCAACAGGTTTTGCTAATTGTTCACCTTTTGGCAAAATCAATGTGGATTGGGCACCAAAATCACGCAAATTCACTGTAAACCAGCTGGTTTGGAAGATCAGGATCTCAAAACTGAACCTGGGTTTGCTTCCAAAATCATGCAAAAACACTCTCTCTAAACCAGGTAGTTTGGAGGATCAGGATCCGAAAAGTGAGATTTTCAAAATTGAATTTGGTCCCAAAATACCGGCAACGGCAAAATTATGGAAATGCCAACAGGTTATGCTAAATGTTTACCTTTTGGCAAAATCACTGGGGACCAAAACCATGCAAATTCACTGTAAACCAGCTGGTTTGGAGGATCAGGATCTCAAAACTGAACCTGGGTTTGATCCCAAAATCATGCAAATACACGCAAATTAACTGTAAGCCAGCTGGTTTGGAGGATCAGGCTACGAAAAGTGAGATTTCCCAAACTAAATTCGCATCGTGAATTAGAGGCTTGTGTAGACATTTGTCTCATTTTGGACGATCAGGATCCGAAAAGTGAGATTTCCAAAATTAAATTCGCATCGTGAATTAGAAGGTTTTTAAATAGACATTGATCTCATTTTTGGCGATCAGGATCCGAAAACTGAATCTAGATTTAGTTCCAAGATCATGCAAATACATTGTAAACCAGGTGGTTTGCAGGATAAGGATCCCAAAACTGAATCTGGATTTAGATGGATTTAGTCCCGAAATCACGCAAAGACACTCTAAACCCGGTAGTTTGGAGGATCAGGATCTGAAAAGTGAGATTTTCAAAATTGAATTTGGCCCCAAAATACCGGCACCGACAAAATTATGGAAATACAAGCAGGTAGTGCTAAATGTTCACCTTTTGGCAAAATCAATTTGGATTTGGTCACAAGACCATGCAAATTCACTGTAAACCAGCTGGCTTGGAGGATCAGGATCTCAAAACTGAACCTGGGTTTGGTCCCAAAATTGCAAATACATGCAAAAACACTGTAAACCAGGCGGTTTGGAGGATCAAGATCTCAAAACTGAACCTGGGTTTGGTCCCAAAATCATACACATTTAAATGCACTGTAAACCAGGCGGCTTGGACGACGGATCCGAAAAGTGAGATTTACAAAAATAAATTCGCATCGTGAATTAGAGGCTCTTGTAGACATTTGTCTCATTTGGGACGATCAGGATCCGAAAATTGAACCTAGATTTAATTCCAAGATCAAGCAAAGACACTGTAAACCACGCGGCTTGGAGGATAAGGATCCCAAAACTGAATCTGGATTTAGCCCCAAAATCATGCAAAAACAATCTAAACCAGGTAGTTTGGAGGATCAGGAAAAGTGAGATTTTCAAAATTGAATTTGGTCCCAAATACCAGCACCGACAAAATTATGAAAATGCCAACAAGTTTTGCTAATTGTTCACCTTTTGGGAAAACCAATGTGGATTTGGCACCAAAATCATGCAAATTCACTGTAAACCAGCTGGCTTGGAGGATCAGGATCTCAAAACTGAACCTGGGTTTGGTCCCAAAATCATACACATTTCAATGCACTGTAAACCAGGCGGCTTGGACGATCCGGATCCGAAAAGTGAGATTTACAAAAATAAATTCGCATCGTGAATTAGAGGCTTTTGTAGACATTTGTCTCATCTGGGACGATCAGGATCCGAAAACTGAATCTAGATTTAGCCCCAAGATCATGCAAATACATTGTAAACCAGGTGGTTTGGAGGATAAGGATCCCAAAACTGAATCTGGATTTAGATGGATTTAGTCCCGAAATCATGCAAAGACACTCTAAACCCGGTAGTTTGGAGGATCAGGATCTGAAAAGTGAAATTTTCAAAATTGAATTTGGTCCCAAAATACCGGCACCGACAAAATAGGATAAGTTTATGGAAATGCCAACAGGTTTTGCTAAATGTTCACCTTTTGGCAAGACCAATGTGGATTGGGCACCAAAGTCCCAAAATCATACACATGCAAAAAAACTGTTCACCAGGTGGTTTGGACGATCCGGATCCGAAAAGTGAGATTTCCAGAATTAAATTCGCATCGTGAATTAGAGGCTTTTGTCGACATTTGTCTCATTTTGGACGATCAGGATCCGAAAACTGAATCTAGATTTAGCCCCAAGATCATGCAAATACATTGTAAAACAGGTGGTTTGGAGGATAAGGATCCCAAAACTGAATCTGGATTTAGTCCCGAAATCATGCAAAGACACTCTAAACCCGGTAGTTTGGAGGATCAGGATCCGAAAAGTGAGATTTTCAAAATTGAATTTGGTCCCAAAATACCAAACCGACAAAATAGGACAATTTTATGGAAATTCCAACAGGTTATGCTAAATGTTCACCTTTTGGGAAAACCAATGTGGATTTGGCACCAAAATCATGCAAATTCACTGTAAGCCAGCTGGTTTGGAGGATCAGGATCTCAAAACTGAACCTGGGTTTGGTCACAAAATCATGTAAATACATGCAAATATACTGTAAACCAGCTGGTTTGGACGATCGGGATCCGAAAATTGAATCTAGATTTAGTCTCAAGATCATGCAAATACACTGTAAACCAGGTGGTTTGGAGGATAAGGATCCCAAAACTGAATCTGGATTTAGATGGATTTAGTGTCGAAATCATGCAAAAACATTAGAAAACAGGTAGTTTGGAGGATCAGGATCCGAAAAGTGAGATTTTCAAAATTGAATTTTGTCCCAAAATACCGGCACCGACAAAATTACGGAAATGCCAACAGGTTATGCTAAATGTTTACCTTTTGGCAAAATAAATGTGGATTTGGCACCAAAATCATGCAAATTCACTGTAAACCAGCTGGTTTGGAGGATCAGGATCTCAAAACTGAACCTGGGTTTGATCCCAAAATCATGCAAATATATGCAAATACATTGTAAACCAGGCGGTTTGGAGGATCAAGATCTCAAAACTGAACCTGGGCGTGGTCCCAAATTCATGCAAATACATGCAAACACATTGTAAACCAGCTGGTTTGGAGGATCAGGGTCTCAAAACTGAACCTGGGTCAAGTCTCAATTCATGCAAATACATGCAAAAACACTGTTAACCAGGTGGTTTGGACGATCAGGATCCGAAAAGTGAGATTTCCAAAACTAAACTCGCATCGTGAATTAGAGGCTTTTGTAGACATTTGTCTCATTTTGGACGATCCGGATCCGAAAAGTGAGATTTACAAAATTGAATTCGCATCGTGAATTAGAGGCTTTTGTAGACATTTGTCTCATTTTGGACGATCAGGATCCGAAAACTGAATCTAGATTTAGCCCCAAGATCATGCAAATACATTGTAAACCAGGTGGTTTGGAGGATAAGGATCCCAAAACTGAATCTGGATTTGCTCCCAAAATCATGCAAAAACACTCTAAACCCGGTAGTTTGGAGGATCAGGATCCGAAAAGTGAGATTTTCAAAATTGAATTTGGTCCCAAAAAAAAGCGGCACCGACAAAATAGGACAAATTTATGGAAATGCCAACAGGTTATGCTAAATGTTCACCTTTTGGGAAAACCAATGTGGATTTGGCACCAAAATCATGCAAATCCACTGTAAACCAGCTGGTTTGGAGGATCAGGATCTCAAAACTGAACCTGGGTTTGGTCCCAAAATCATGCAAATACATGGTCCCAAGATCATGCAAATTCACTGTAAGCCAGCTGGTTTGGAGGATCAGGATCTCAAAACTGAATCTGGACTTAGTCCAAAAATCATGCAAATACATGCAAATACATTGTAAGCCAAGCGAATTGGAGGATCAGGATCTCAAAACTGAACCTGGGTTTGGTCCCAAATTCATGCAAATACATGCAAATACATTGTAAACCAGGCGGTTTGGAGGATCAGGATCTCAAAACTGAACCTGGGTTTGGTCTCAAATTCATGCAAATACACTGTTAACCAGGTGGTTTGGACGATCAGGATCCGAAAAGTGAGATTTCCAAAACTAAACTCGCATCGTAAATTAGAGGTTTTTGTAGACATTTGTCTCATTTTGGACGATCAGGATCCGAAAAGTGAGATTTACAAAATTAAATTCGCATCGTGAATTAGAGGCTTTTGTAGACATTTGTCATTCTGGACGATCAGGACCCGAAAAGTGAGATTTCCAAAATTAAATTCGCATCGTGAATTAGGGGCTTTTGTAGACATTTGTATCATCCTTTTTTTAAAATTTGATTTTGGACGTTGACCAGTCTTGATCGGTCTCATCGGCCCGATTCGATCTTTTTTTTCGGGGCCGAACCTTTTCCGATACCTGCGGTGCGCGAACCTTTTTCATTTCCATAATTCTGTCGGTTCTTATAGACCCGTGTGCCAAAAGCGCCCAAGTTGCACCATGTTGAACGCAAGTTGGGCTCAAGTTGGCCAAGTTGGCTCGTGTTCGGCCCAACAAAATGCCAAGCGCGGCCAAGTCTACCCCCAGTCGGCTTAGGTTGGGCCAAGTAGGCCCGTGTTCTTCACCCCGCATCCCCAGCTACCATACTCCCCAACTTTGAAAAGCCGTCCTTGACCCGCACAATAATTTCCCTTCTGCTTCCAGCCCAGCCCATAGCATCCCATAGGCTTTCTTAAAATCGGGTGCGGGCGGTGCTCGTCGCGAAGCGACTAGTATACGACAACGACAATACTACTAAGAGCTACTAAGTCAATACTGTTACAACTATCATAACCATGCAATAACCACCATCAAGCACAAAACCGCAACAGAAACAATGTACATACTCCACACCTGGGCAGCAATTTACGAACTCATGAATGTCCGAAGCAATTGCTTGTACACTTAAAAAAACATAGGAATGTACACCTTCCCACCATGATGATGTGAGCAAACTTGGGGCGTTGATGGGAATTGAGAACGTTTCTTCGGCTTCACTGTGCCTGTGGTATTTCGTCAAGCTCCTGCTGGTAATTGTCGTCCTCCTCGTCTTCATCGTACTTCTCATACACGGCATTTGCAGCATGAGAATTACGGGGGCTGTCTTGGCTGCCGTCCTCAGAAAAAAAACATCTGCTATGACTGCAAGGTGCCACTTCCGCAGCAGTGACCCTTTGCAGCTTTTGCGTTGAACACTATTCTTGGACTTCAAATTTCTGACAATTTCTGAGCATCAAACTGTTGTCATTCAATTCAGGGTTTTCTGGGGCCACTTACCGATGATAGTGTGGCGAAATCGTAGCTGAACGAGTGCGCAGTGTGTGTGAGTGTGTGTGCGGGTTGGTGTGAACATGTTGTGTTCGTACTGTGCTCGTCCCTCGTCATGATTTACTAGGTACAAGAGTCTGAAACAAAAACAACCAAGACTGAGCCCATCAGAGAGAGCTTTGGCTGCTACGAGTACACTGTAATCCAATCTGTCAGAAGGCATGGAGCATGCAAAGTATTCTCTCGGACAGTACACTTCTACACTATAGCTCTTAAAGGTTCAATATGTTAGGAAAAGAAATACAGTTTCAATATCCTTTCTCCCCAACCTAAATCATACGCCTTTGGGAAGATAAAACGATATTCAAAAAGTACTAAAATTTGAACAAGGAAGGAACCCGAGTGTCAAAACTTTGGATGTGATGCAACATTTAGGACATGCACGCTTTTTCACAGAATAAATTAATGGGCTCAACAAGTACAGTTACAGAGGTTGTCTAATATAAGTACGTATATGTGCATCTGTGTACCATGAAAGCCACTTCTCATGAAAACCATTCCGTGAGATCTTTAGTCTGTTTGTATGTGAAGCATTGTGAAGCCTCATCTTACTGTTTCTTATTTTCACTCAGGGCTTATCATCTTTCTGGACAGGTCCCGCTGCGGCCAGGAATTGGAGGGAACCATAGCTGCTTCCAAGCTTCCTGCCCAGCATCTTCGTCGCAAAAGCTCTCATTCTCCATTTCGGCCATCTCGGCTAGCTCGCCTTGATTTTCCTCCTCGCTTTGTCTTTCCTCAATTCCCTCGTTTTCCTCCTCTGTTCTTCGTCGCTTTCGACACTCCGTTTGCAACTCTTCGCGGGCTCTTTGGCGCCGCGGCAGCGATGAGGAGCAACTCTTTTGTTGTTCCCCTGGTCGTTCCAATAGCGTCACAAAAGCAGCACCCAACCTTTCACAGAAATCACACATTTAGGAGAAAAATGGAGAACAATCAAAGGGTGGTGTAAAATGAATGACTCATGTTTCCTTTGTGCTGGTTTGCCTTGCTACATTTCGTGAATGTTAGGATCTTCACTGGACTATAGGGTTTTTGTTCATCTTTATCCACATCCCATGCCAGCATAGCGAAATCATGTTTCAAATGGTTTTAAATTGAATGCTTAGTGATGCTTGGTGGTTGAAAATCACAAAGCACGGGCTGATGACCTGGCAATGACTCAGATTTCGCAGATGGCTCCATCACCAGGTCTTGTGGCTGAAAGTTTCAAGCAAGTGGGCAATAAACATGTTTTGCATAAGTGGGATGAATCTCACCTGTCACCTTATGTATATTTACATCATATATTTACACACGTATACAGCACAATCATACATATACACATACATACTCTGTTTCGGCACAGCTGTTTCGTACTACATGGGGCACATCCTGCTATGTATCAGATACATATTATATATATATTTAGTCTGAGTATAATTAAGTATATACACATGTATTAGCAGACGTGTTGTGCAGACAGTCTCTTGCACGTCATAAGATTTTCCAAACTAGCTCCAATTTGTCCTCAGACTTCTAAGGCTTCTTGAAACAACTGCCTCACTGAAATATGAGTTATATATATATAATATATCTGCTCACTGTTTTCATTCAAGGCACTTAAAGTTCTGCTCGTAGAGCATAAACTTTACTCGAAGGTCCACAATGCTCTTTTTTGTAAAATTCTCCGAGGCTTCGCGATCATAGAACCAAACCATTCCTCAATCAAAGATAGGATGTTGTGAGTGCAGCATCTGGGCTTGTCGCAATCTCAGGAACATACTTTCACCGTCCGACACTCAACCCCCAAGCATTCATTGTCATTGCTTTGTCCTCATAGTAACTATAGTAGTGATCCTGAGATATTCCTGAGACATCCTGTGTTCAGGTCCTAGCATCCGGATGGGTGCATGCAATCATTCTGAATCGGCTCTTCTGGTTCAATCCAACCTTCTCCATATTTGTCCTTCCACAGGCGGATGTGCCCAGTCCTGAGGAGTCAGCGCAGATTTCAAAAAAACTTTAAAATAGTTACAACGCATCAAATATACACGTGCTCACATGACACAGCAAAATACAAAAACTCCTTGTAGCACCTCGTCAGAGTTTGTGGAGTTGAGGAACACAACAGCTAAATTTGAGTTTCCAAAGGTATGTCCACTTCCTCCGACATGTCATTCCCGATCATTCCGTGCAACTTGCAGCTCAGAAACAGGATTCCCCAAAACAAAATGGCCAAAACATGCCAAAACATGAAATATCATTGCCCTATTGTATGATCCCTTCTCATTGTGCGGGAAGATCGGGAAGAGTGTGCAAATGTGACTCGACAAAAGCAGGAAATTGCGCTGCTCGGGATTCTCAAGTGGTACCAGCAATGCTGGAGATGTCTGGAACAAAAAACGGTCCATTTCCAATACACTGCAAAAAATGATCTTACACCATCAAGTTATAATCATGCAACTTAAGTGTCCATAGTTCACACTCAACGCATCAGCCCCGTTTTGCTGCTGTTGGGACACCGTAGCTGGTTCAGCTAAGACCCCTTAGCGACCTGTGCATCTGTCGCTTTTGGATATGGCTGTGCCAGACCCCCCGGGTGGGGGGTGGGACAGGAAAAAACTGCCACCCTGAGCCAGATGACTTCACATGCTTCCTATGAACACTGTGCCCCTAAAGTAACAGTTTTCCCAAACTTCCAACTTAAGTGTCCATAGTTCACACTCAACGCATCAGCCCCGTTTTGCTGCTGTTGGGACACCGTAGCTGGTTCAGCTAAGACCCCTTAGCGACCTGTGCATCTGTCGCTTTTGGATATGGCTGTGCCAGACCCCCCCGGCTTTCGCCAACATCATAGAGTGAGGGCTTTGTAGTTCTCAGGTGTAGTGCACAAACTGGCTGACATTGGCCATTTTCTTCGAAAGGCCCTTCAGGACGTCCCCATCGTCGTGCAAGTAGCGGTGTACGGCTCCGCTGCTCCATCTTCCTGTGCGCTTCACCACCTCCACCTCTCCTGTCGCCTGAAAGAGAGCTGACGCACCTCCAATCCGTAGGGAGTGCGATTGGAAGCGGTCAGCCGGAAGTCCCACCGCTTTGGCCGACTTCTGGAGAATGTTCTGGATCTCCAGCCGCTTCAAGACGCCTCCGGAGGCCCACCTGAACAATGGCAGCAACGCCTCGGATCCTTCAAACCGTCGTGGGGCCACCTCCTTGAACTCCACCATGGCCTGAACGACGCACACGTGCTCCACATTGGTTCGCAGCATCGTTTTGCAGGTGCCAAAGGCGCTCTGGTCCGCCTTCGTCTTGCGGAACTGCAGCGTCATCTCCTCGACCTCTTGGTTCTTCGCCACCTGTTGTCCCTCAGTCGTCAGAGACACGTCGACCCCTCGAACGATCATGTCCGGGTCGACCCCACTGGAATCCGCAAACTCCTTGGCTCGGAGCATGTAAAACCAGGCCGTGAGCAGTGCCGCTTTGAGCATCCGGCAGTCCACTCGTAGCTCACCAAAGCTTTGACTCCCTGCTGCCAAGTGCTCCCCAATCCACTTGAGCATCGGGACAGTGACCCCCAACCTCCTCGGTTTCTTCGGCGAGGTTCTCTCCAAGGAATTGAGGACAATCCACAGGCGATGCATCTTGCCTGTGGTGTCCCCGTGCCCAGCCCGCTTGTGCGCATCCTTTATGGCAAAGACCGCCAATTTGAGCGACGCCACCGATGTGCCCAGCCATCCAAGGTAGCCCAAATATCCCAAGAGCTTGTTCTCGTTCAGGATGGCATCGTCCTTGTAGTTGAGATAGGGCGATAGCCACCCTTGTCGGCGCGCCCAGTCTGTCCACTTCTCCCACGCGGCCTGGTAGGCGCGCTTCGTGCTCTTCGCCTTGTCTCCATCCATGTGTCCCTCGAGCCACTCCTCGACCTGCGCCTGCACGTTGAGGTCGCCCACCAGACCAGGTTGAAGATCGACCACCTTCTCAGCTGCCCTTCGTTGGGCCTCGGCATTGGATCTTCGTCCAGCTGCCTTGTCCACATACTCCTCCTCTGCTTCTTCAAGCGCTTGAATCCAGAGGTCCTCTCCCCAGAGCCACGCTACACGCTTCTCTGCACCTCCAGCTCTTCGCCACGGCGGGGCTCGTGCAAAATCTCCTCTTCTCCACCGACGGAGCCACACAAGCATCTGACCCAACGACTTGTAGTCCTCGACGTCAAAGCACATGCCCGCCTTATACTCAGAAGCTTCCTTGCCCGCAATCTCCGCTGCCACGCTCAAAAGGCCCAAAGCCGTGCGCCTTCCTGTTCCTTTGCTGCCTTGTTTCAAAGCCTCCGCCTGAGAAAGTTGCTGGCACAGCGACTCCCACTCCGCTGCCGATCTGCCTTGAGCCCTCCAGAGCTCCTCCTCGGTCACACGTCTCACTTTGCCCACTGGGGCACCCTTGTCCACCACATAGATCTCCTCCATAGCACCATTCTTCGTTGACAGCGGCCAGCGTCCAGGTCCACAGAGTCGATAGACCACCACTCGCTCGTCCTCGCTCTCGAACCATACATGCGCTCCAACAAAGGGCAACATTGAGTGATTGCCTTGCCCCACTGCCTTCTCAAAGCGCTTGTACTCCACATAGTCCTCGTCCTTGGCCCTTCCAAGGATGGATCCAAGTGAAGGTGCCGTGACCGCTCGCGCCAACCAGCCCTCAACCTCCTGCTCCTGCACCTCTGCTCTGTGCACGAACATCGCTCTGCGTCTCCTGACAAGCAACTCGCCCAGCTCTGAAGTGAGGAACTCCACATCGGTGACCTTGAACCCATTCTGAATGGCCTTCTTCCTCATCAGATCCCAGGCCACGTCTCTGGGTCCTTCGAGAATGGCCACCGCATACTCCTCCTGCTCCAGAAAGCGCCAAAAAGCTGACACCCGGTCTCCTCTCGGATCGGGCCCAATGGTGGCGGCAACTATCACTGCTCCTCTGGCCCCCTCCTTCTTGTAGAAGTCGAAGTCCCGAACGTAGCGCTCCACCGCCGTCCACTCAATAATCCGCAGATTTTCCAGGCTTTGAGGGCTCCGATGCACCGACCGGAAGACTCGCAACTCCCTCAGCCTCATCATCTCCTCCTTGTCCTCCGCGTCTGCCCAAGAGAGAAAGCATGGCCCGAAGCGTTCCGTGTCCAGGAGTGCTTCGTAGATACTCTGGCGGACATCCACTCTCTCCCAGCCTCGTTGTCGAATCATCTCCTCTGCTTCTGCGTCATCGAGCCGGGTCAATGCGTCGGCATCCTCGTTGTGAAACGTTCTCCACCAGCCACCCAACACCTGACACCTGAAGCGCATCTCCACCAAGTTCAGGACCCTGATCAGTAGACGCCCCGCCCTGACACGGCTCCTCCTGCTGCAGATCCAATGATACACCACCTTGTTGTCGCCTCCGTAGACCACAATCTTCCCGGTCCATAGGTGTCCAACCCGGCAAGCAAATGCAACAAAAGAAAGCATCTCACCCAGGTGAATGGCCAGCTTCTGATCCAGACTCGCTTTCTCCTCCTCCATCGCCCTGGTCACCCAGGTTTGCATCTCAGCCATCTCCTCTCTGCATACCATACCGTTCGTCCAATCGATGGCCGCGAGCATGTCCAGCGTTGCATCCGAGGTCACGAACACCGCCGTAGACAAAGACCCACTGGGCAAACTCAAGCGTTCCATAGCTGGCAGAAGCTCCCTGATGTCTCCTCCGAACTTTTCAGACCAGGTTTCTGAACGTGCACAGAGCCACCTACAGTCTTCGAAGAGCGTCCACAGGTCTTCCCAGGCCCGTTCCACGTCATCCTCCGTGGTCACACGCGCGGGCCAAATCGCCGCGCTCCCATCGATCCCACTCAAAAACCTGTCCGCCGCCTTGAGCTCGTTCTTGAGACCTTTCACCACCGTAGCCCATCCCGTTGCTATGCCGCGGAACCGTTGCAGGTCCTTCAAAGTCAACGTCTTCTCACCAAAATTGAAGTGATCGTTGGTGAGGAGGTAGGCCCCTTTCGCAACCCTTGCCTCTGGCAGCGACATCTTCTCCTCGTCCGCATTGATGTAGACACCCCACACAAGCTGGGCCGGTCCAAAATTGCCTTCCTCCCGGTCCTTCTCTGCGTTCACCGCCTTCTCTCCGAGGAGCTTCTTTACTCCCCACTCATACACTTCGCTTGACACCCAAGGCCGGAGCCCCAAGGCTGGTTCAACCAGGACCATGTCGTCAACGAGGATCTTCCCGTCAAAGTTGATGGCCCCATCGCGGCGTGTGTCCCAGGGTTGATGCTGCCGGTGCAACTCCTCCGTAGAGCGCCCCCAGACCGTCCATTCCCCTGGGCTGCCTGAGAATCCAAAACTGCTGACCAGGTAGAGCATGGTCAGACCAACAGGGTCGCCCGTTTGCTTCCGGTCTCCTCCTGCGCCCATCTCCCATGGCTCCCATCCAACATCACCACCAAACAACTCCACATCCCTGGGGTCGAGCCACAACAAGCGAAAGGCGCCCGCCACATCCTTCTTTGCCATGACAACCTTCACTCCGGGGTAGTGCGCCTTGAGGAACAGGATTCTGCGTACAATCTGCTCATGCATCGGTTGGAGAGCTGGTGGGTGTAACTCCTTGTGGGTGCCGCTGTTCACCCCTCTCTGATCATGAACCAACCGCACTTCCGATGAAAGGGCCCTGTTGGGGAGCATCTTCGGCACTGCCTCAAACGGGGAAGAGGTCGTCCATTCCAATTGAGGATGGTCTGCACTAACCACAAGGACCCGGTGCTTGCCCACATCTTTCAAGAGTTGCCGATACACCTGACTCATGTTGGCCCGAGCTCGGGGATGCGGTCGATTGGCGACCCTCGTCCTTTCACCCTGATGCCGAGCTGGCATCCCTTGGGCTCTCACCTGCCTGAGGTAGTCCAGCAAGTCTGGATGTAGGAGCTCATCCAACTCCTCATCATCGACCCCAGCCAGATTGTTACGCC